TATGTGCAGGAGGCAGCCAATCAATGGTTCTCTCTCATCATTGATGTTTCTATCTCTCTTCTCCCTCTCCCTTTCTCTCTGAATCAATAAAAAATATATTAAAAAAAAAGAAACATCACGCCAAAGTCACTACCTCTGCTAGGAGAAAGGAATCGAAGCTAGGTCCTACTCAATAAGAGTGAAACGCCATCTAAAAATGGTTTTTTTAAAGGAAATGAACTAATAATTCGGCAAAATAGCAGAAAAAAAAATACCTTCTTGGCGCCAGGCAGCAACCTTAGCACGTGGGCATTGGTGGTTCAGTGGTAGAATTCTCGCCTGCCACGCGGGAGGCCCGGGTTCGATTCCCGGCCAATGCACTCGCCCTTTTTTTTTTTTTTAATCCTTCCAATCACGTTGAAATACCCAGTTCAAAGGTCGGGGACTTTCCACACTCGAATTTTGGCCTCTTTGCACATCCTGACTAAGGGACTGGAGTTGTCCAAGAGAGGCGAGGGGCGGGCTGGAAACCAGCTCTTTTCTAACAGAAACATTGAAGTTTTTGCCTTCAGAATATTTGGACTCAATGTAGTCTGGACTCATTGTTCTGTTCTAAGACTGACTAAAATCAATAAAAAGTCCTTGAAGAAAAATCATTTTTAACATGCAAACTTTTAAAGGGAAGTAGAATGAAGGAATGATTTTGATTCAGCAGCCTCGCTGCACGGAGCAGAGTGGCGCAGCGGAAGCGTGCTGGGCCCATAACCCAGAGGTCGATGGATCGAAACCATCCTCTGCTAGCTATTTTTCCAAAACTATGTGGGAGGCATTTGGAGAGTCATCTTATACAACCTCCGGGTATGTCTTCTCCTCCTCCCCCGGCCCCCACGCCTGCGGAAGTGTCTCTAGCTGACGGAATCTTGGATAACTGCAGGGAACTTCTGAGACAAAAAATAGATAAAACACACCACACGTTTTTCTACATGACATAAAGCATCTTTCTTAAAAGTTTATATTTTTATTTTGATGTTTTGCTTTCAAATCCATGTATTTGTAGACTGGACTTACTGGATTATTAACTTGAATTTTCTTTCACATGCAAAATAAATAACAATGAAAAGTTTCTAATTGAGGAAATGTCATATGTACCCTCTCTGAGAGCAGAGAACATTAACCCATCAGCTGAGGGATGTCCATCTCTGCCTACCACCATACTGTAAATAAGAATGTCAGTTTAGAGTTTGAAAGGAATATACATATACATATATATATATCTTAGATAGATAGATAGATAGATAGGTAGATACAGATATTTTCCATTTCAGAGATTCCGTTAAAGGGAGTTGGGAATATTTAACATCATAAATCTCCCAACAATCTCAAATCTTTGCTCCTCAGCACTGACCACGGTGTAGTAGATTGTATATTTTATTTGAATAGTAAATGAATATTTAGTATTTTCTCCCCCTGAAAGGATGTAAGTTTACAAGAACAGAGATTTTGTCTATTTTCACACTGTGGTTACTATAACATCTAGAACACGGGCTGACACATCTTAGTCGCTGGTGATTTGGTAAATACTGTATGTTAGAAGCTGCAATTTCTAACACATCCAACACCAGGATACGGCATTAGTCTTCACCTTTTTCCTTTAATTAAAAAAAACAAAAACAAAAACACAGAAGAGTACAAAAATGACATCACAGAATTGATCCACTGTTTAACATTAGAACATATTAAATATAAACCTCCTTTATAGTTAAAGAGAAAAACACATAAAATTACAGTATTTTTCACACATAAAATTAAAGTATTCTTCCACTGTTAACTTGTAACCATCTAGGCTACCAGTATCACAGTGCATGTGTTTAAGAACTCTTCTTTTACTTAACAATGGCTCCAAATCGAAAGAGTAGTGATGCTGGCAATTCAGATATGTCAAACAGATGCTGTAAAGGGCTTCCTTTGAGTGAAAAGGTGAAAGTTCTTGACTTAATAAGGAAAGGGGGCAAACATTGTATGCTGAAGTTGCTAAGATCGACAGTAAGAATAAACCTTCTGTCTGTAAAATTGTGAAGAAAAAGAAAGTTGTGCTACTTTGCTGTTGCACCTCAAACGGCAAAAGTTACAGCCACAGGGTGTGGTAAGTGCTTAGTGCAGAGGAGAGTGGCGTCCGTCCGTGTGCAGGAAGGCATGAGCCGGAAACTGCTCTGATTGGCCCCAGTGTTTTGCACCTGAAAGCACTGAGCCTACGGAAGGGACGCCCTGAAACGAGTGACAGCATTCACAGACCGTTCTTTGCAGTATGTTGTTATAATTGTTCTGTTTCAGTATTATTGCTGCTAATCTCTCACTTGCCTAATTTATAAGTTAAACTTCATTGTATGTGTGTATAGGAAAAAAACGGCACGTGTAAGGTTCGGTGCTATCCATGGTTTCAGGCATCTGATGGAGGTCTTGCAACTATTAGGGGCAGAAATAGAATATTAGACACTAGCTAAGAAATATTACCAGTAAGCACACTCTTTAACCATGATTGTTCTTTTCTGATTACAGAAGGCACATTTTCGTTTCTCTGGGAGTGTACGCCCTGGAACGTGGGTGCTCACATCGGAATGCAGGCCATCCTCCTGTCCCGACAGCTGCCTATCATTGTGGGAAGATTGGCAGCCTTGTGGCTGAGACCATCTAGTCCCAGAGGCACCTGCTCTTTACAACCCAAGTTTATTGCCTGTGATCTGGTCCTGGGGCACCTGGAGGTGCCTGCCCTCTGTGACCTCCTCCCGCCCCCGCACCCCCGCCAGCCCTCTTTTCCCCTCCGCCAGCCCTCATGGCTTGTAACCTGCAATGAGTATCCCGTGCCCACGTCCCCATGCCTGTAATTCCTATGTTCCCATGTCATCTTTGTTCTTCTGCCCAATGTAGAGAGCTGGCTTATGGGAGGAGGGGGGTTGGGGGGAGAGCAGATTTTTGTGGATGGCCTGTTGCTCTTCCACACTGCCGGAAATATTGGAATAAATGCTCATATAGGATTCAGCCCCGTCTCTGCTGAATTGGCAATTATAATACCTCTGGGATAAGGAGGACTTACTGCACTGCATTTCTCAAGATTGAATCAAAGCTATGTCATATGTCACATCGTTAGCAATAGCTTCAGGTGACCCATGAGAAGATCATTTCTGTGGGAAGGGACTTCGGGATAACTTTTAGTCGAGGACCAAAGACTGGGAAGATAAGACAATGTGGCGAATGACAGGGCATCGTGGCAGCCAGGATTCCTCAAAGTATCAGCCTCCCATTGCAGACTTCATTTTGGAGGTTTGGTGCTGACCTTAGAGATCTCCAAGCTTCAGAATTCCCCCACCCACCCCAGAGGCCCAGAAACTCTTTGTGTGGGGCATGTCCCTCTGGCAGAGACCCGAGTGCCTGAGGCTGGGAGCAGGAAAACGGGACTGCGACTGGCTTACCTCCCTGCTCCCCCACCCGCTTATCCCCCCGCCCCCTGCCCACCGTTCCATACTCCTCAGCCAGAGGCATTGGCTTTCATTAGCATTGGTGTCTGATGAAGGGCAAGAGTGTAATGGCCACTGTAATGAGAAGGCATCTTCACAAGATCAGAGCAGGCAACTCCACAGAATTTATTGCAGATCATTTACTTACAGGACAATTGGGCCGCAGCAGCCAGCCAGCCGGCAATATTGCACAAAATGTGCTCCCTATCTGTTGCAGTGGCGTTTAAAATCATATGATTCAGGTACCAATGATGGACAAGACAAAGGGACAAAGAATGTGGTAGCAAATCGGTATATACTCCTGGTGGTTTTGTGATGAATGATTGGTTTTCATCAATACTATAAACAGTTTGATACTTATCTCAATTTTCATGGCATCCTGGCTATTGCTAAAATATATACATGTGGACGAAAAGGGGCCACATGCTACCCTGACTACTCCGGGAAGGCCTGCCTGACAGCCTTGCAAACTCAGAGACCTAAAGTACCACAGAGGATGTTCTGAAATGAAAACCTTTTAATTAAAACAGTTTATAGTAGGTAGGCATGTCCTAGGCCAGTATCTTCCTTGACAAAGACCAACTTTGATCTTTACTGAGCATGTTGTCTCTTTGCATCTAAGATAACAAACCTGTGATGTTGGGGGCCAGATGTAAGCTGGCAAGGTCCTTGCACCTGCAGGGGCTAGCAAGGCTGGGACCCTTACCCACAGTTTTCCCAGACTTGTTTGGATGGCGGTTATCAGTAGAATGGTAGTAACATTTGTAGAATGAAAACAGCCTTTCATAGCTTGCCAAGAAGTCTGTACCTATTTACTGAGATCTGCTGTACTGAGAACTTGTCCTTCTGCTGTGTCTCTCCCTTAGAGATTAAGAGGAACAAAGAATACATTCCTCTTGACAGACCTCCGATTCAGTGTGTTGTGTATAAATAGGATTGTAGAGCTAATAAACTCGCTTCAGTTCATCAAGAGAACTGGAGTCCTCCCGACCCCGCTTTCCTGTCTTTCTTTCTTTTCTCAATTCCCACGTCCCTGCCTCAGCCCGGCTCAACCCTGTCAGGCTGGCCCTGACACTGTGACACATCAGGTAACTGGCAACTTCCCTTTTTCCGGACCCTCAGGGTGCAACCAATGGCACCAGAGCAGAGGCCATTCCCTCCTTGTTGTTATCTGTTAATTGTTGCCTGATAACTATCCTGTACTCATCTGTGTGTGTGAAGGAAACATGCCTATCATTTTACTTTTTATCCAATCAGCGAGGTTTCCCCACTTTGCTTTCTCCCACCTCCCAGATCTATCACCAATGGATTTCCGGTAACCCACTTGATGGTAACTTATAAAAATAGGTGAAAAACCACCATTCTCCGGTGCATTATCTTAATTTGTTGAGATTCTGCTCTCGGCAATGGTGGACAGTTCAGCTCAAATGAACTCACATTCTTTACCGGTCTGAACGTTCCTCAGGTACCAGCTGTTGTAAGAAACACGGAGCCGCCAACGAGAAAGGTGGCTGTGCTGGCTAAGGACAGTGACTTGGTCAGTCACAGCGTGAAACAAAAATGAAAGGACATTCGGGACAGAGACGGGGCTGGGGGCGGAGGAAAGGCGAGTCCGACTGGCGATGAGTCCCGGAAACGTCACCGGGACGTTGTCCACTGACAACGAGTGTGTTCCAGAACCAGGATCCCATTGGGTGAAGGGAACGGGCTGTAACTGGCCGCCAATGGCACAGACTCACGTTCGCGCCGCGGCGCGACTATAAAGAGGGCAGCTGCGGGCGACTCAGCTCAGATCAAGGTCTGAGCGGTGGAGTACCTGACGGCCGAGATCCTGGAGCTGGCGGGCAACGCGGCGCGCGACAACAAGAAGACGCGCATCATCCCGCGCCACCTGCAGCTGGCCATCCGCAACGACGAGGAGCTCAACAAGCTGCTGGGCAAGGTGACCATCGCGCAGGGCGGCGTGCTGCCCAACATCCAGGCCGTGCTGCTGCCCAAGAAGACCGAGAGCCACCACAAGGCCAAGGGCAAGTGAGGACCCTGCGTTCCTTTGGCAACAACGCACACAACTAAACCAAAGGCTCTTTTCAGAGCCACCCACGCGTTCACTAAAGAGCTTGCCCGCGGGGCAATGAAACCACTCCTGTCTCTTGTCCGCGTGGTTTTGCATCTTAATGGGACACATCTTCGCCAGCGCCCACTCCTAGCCTAGGGGGACCTAGTGGGTTGTTAATAGGAAAGCAACGCCGCCCGCCCCGGGGTCGCGTCCCTTCCGCGGAGCTTCTCTGCGCGGGGCCCAGCGTGACTGGCACCGTCATCTTTCTGTCGACTTACTCGTTGGAGGATGTGTTTTCCTAACCCCCTTTTACACAAGTCTCACTTCAAATGGCTAAACGTAGTGGAATGCTGCCTACGAACGTGGAAGGGAAAGGCAAATGTCAATCGAGCTATAATATCAAATGTGAAATGGAGCTCAACAGGCATTTAGAAAAAGCCTACAGAACATTTTAAAATCTCTGAGTTTAAACAGAAATGAAGAAACTGACGGGAAATCCTCTCCAAAACCTGCCTGAGCCTGAAAAACCCCTTGGCCAATCCCACGCAGCGCGCGCTTTTTTCAAAAAGATCAAAGGGAGCCAGTTTCCGGCGTCAAAATTTAAAATTTTTATTCCGCGAACAAGATATTTACATGAAATTTTGCGGAGCAAAGACAGGACATTGTAAAGAAAATGCGTACAGACCGAGCGACGAGAAAGGGTAGGAAACAGCCTCTGCTGAAAGGGTGGGTGGGAGGAAGCCGTTAATTTCTGATCCAAACGCCCGGAGGCTCCGGGGATCAAAAAGCGGACGCGGCTTCCAATCACGTCACTGCGGGCCTTGATGGGCAGGCGCCGCCTCCAATCACAGTGGCACTTGCCTTATATATACTGGTTGCGAGCCCGCGCTGCCATTCCTGCAGCAGTTCTCTGCTTGTTTGTGTCGGAAATGGCTCGCACCAAGCAGACGGCGCGCAAGTCCACGGGCGGGAAGGCGCCCCGCAAGCAGCGGCCACCAAGGGCCGCCCGCAAGAGCGCGCCGGCCACGGGCGGCGTGAAGAAGCCGCACCGCTACCGGCCCGGCACCGTGGCCCTGCGCGAGATCCGGCGCTACCAGAAGTCCACGGAGCTGCTGATCCGCAAGCTGCCCTTCCAGCGCCTGGTGGGAGAGACTGGG